ATTGGGAATGGGTGCAGAAAGGGCTCAGTATACATTGGGAATGGGTGTAGAAAGGGCTCAGTATACATTGGGAATGGGTGCAGAAAGGGCTCAGTCTACATTGGGAATGGGTGTAGAAAGGGCTCAGTCTACATTGGGAATGGGTGTAGACAGGGCTCAGTGTACACTGGGAATGGGTGCAGAAAGGGCTCAGTGTACTAGGGAGCCAGTGTGTCAGTTTCTCCCAGGCACTGTCCTGTGGCTGCCTCAGTAGATGATTATTGCCTAGCCCTCCATGTGTTGCCTGTGGAGAGGTTGTTGATTAATTAAGGTTTGTGGTCCTCCAAGAGCCATGACAGAGGCCCGGGTAAGAAGTGGCAGGCAGCTGTCTCCATCCTAGGCACCAAACATCTGGTCTCGTTCTCTTCCCCCAGGGACTCTGTAAGCTCGGATCAGCTGGAGGGACTGACTTTAGCATGAAGCAGTTTGCCGCAGGCTCCACTCTCAAACTGGCCAAGCAGTGCCGGAAGTGAGTGGTGTTTCCCCACTTATGGGCTGACCTTAAGGGAGGGAGGGTGTGGGACCAACGGGAGAGGCGCTCAGTGGGTGTAGGTGGGAGGGCCTCAGACACCCGTGTTAAGAGGCTGGGCGAGGCCGGCTGGGCACCTGTAGCTCCTTTGCTGTGTGGCAAGACAGAAGGCTGACTGGGGCTTCCTTCAGTGAGAGACCTGGGAGGAGAGAGAGACAGGGAAGGACACCTGTACCTCCTCTGGCCTCCATGCATGTGCAGAGGTGCGCGCGCACACGCACACACGCAGACACATACAGCTTTTAAGAAGGGGAGTGGGTGGAAGGTGGACCGTCTGTTTCCTGCTGTCAAGCGCAGGCAGGGTAATGCTTTCCCTCCGGCAAATCCCAGACCGTGTCACAGTGGCCCAGCCCCTGGCTTCCCTCCTCGTCCAGGTTACCCCTTCCTGCTTGTGCTTGCTCTTCTGGAGTTTGTTTTTTCCGAGATGGGGGTCTCACTAAGCCCTGGCTGTCCTAGAACTTGTGACCCTCCTGTCTCTGCCTCCCGAGTGCTTGGCTTCCAGGCATGCACCACCGTGTCTGGCTCCAGCTTCCCACCTCTGATGGTCATCCACTGTCATTCGCGTCCCCAGGTGGCTATGCAATGACCAGATTGACGCCGGCACTCGGCGCTGGGCGGTGGAAGGCCTGGCCTACCTCACCTTTGATGCCGACGTGAAGGAAGAATTTGTGGAGGATGAGGCTGCTCTGAAGGCCCTGTTCCAGCTCAGCAGGGTAGCTCTGCGGGTCCCTATTGTCAGCCTAGGGCAGGATCTAGGGTGGGAGCTTACCAGGCTCTGGCAGGTCTCCCCAGCGTCCCTTGTGATGCCGGGGAGGCAGAGCCAGCTGGCTGCTTTGTGTGGCCTTGGTGCCTACAGTGTCTGGAAGCATAGCCCTGGGGGAGTGAAGAGCCGGGCTTGAGCTCTGAGTCTGGGGTTGGGGCAGGTTCCCAGCGTCACCCTAGGTTCCAGGTGGGGCCGTGGGGGTGGCTGTGCGCAGCGGCACTCCGCCATGCTGCTCGGCTGGGACTGTCCTGCTGAACGCCCCTCTCTTCCGGCCAGTCCGAGGAGAGGTCGGTGCTCTTTGCGGTGGCCTCGGCCCTGGTCAACTGCACCAACAGCTACGACTATGAGGAGCCTGACCCCAAGATGGTGGAGCTGGCCAAGTATGCCAAGCAGCATGTTCCTGAGCAGCATCCTAAGGTAGGGGTCCACTAGGAGGGCCTGGGGGTACCTGTTTTGGGCGGCAGTTGGGTGGGTGATTCATCCTCAGCAGAAAGCTTTCCTTTAAACCGGCTGTTTCCAAGCTCTGCCTGGGCTGTTGGTTTACACGGTCCTCAGTCTCTGCTGTGAGAAGGAAGAGTCCACATTTCCCTATCCAGTCAGCTCCGGCCCCCTCCTAAACTGCCTCCTTTCGCAGGACAAACCAAGCTTTGTGCGGGCTCGTGTGAAGAAGCTGCTGGCCGCGGGTGTGGTGTCAGCCATGACGTGTATGGTGAAGACGGAGAGTCCCGTGCTGACCAACTCCTGTAGGGAGCTGCTGTCCAGGTAAGCCAGCCTGCCTCTGCCAACTCCAGCACGCCTGTAGGGGTGGGGCCTGTGCTGGGGGAGTCTTAGAGCGCTTGGCTGCCTTCCTTCCCTTAGCCTGAGAATGGAGTGCCTGCCTGCCGGAGCCGTGGGCCCCATCCACCCACCTTGTCTTCTCCCTGCAGGGTCTTCCTGGCTTTGGTGGAAGAGGTGGAGGATCGAGGTACTGTGGTTGCCCAGGGCGGGGGCAAGGTAAGCTGGTTGCTGACTCCTTCCTGACCCTGAGCCATCCACCTATAAAACATGACTCAGTGGCTGCTGGCCTTGGGGAACACTTCTGCTGGTGGAGTGATGCTGATGTGGACAGGCTCTTCAGAGTCCCTCAGTGCTTTGGGCCCATAAAGATCCTGAGTTTGCCTCCTGTGTGGCCCCAGGGCCCAGCACAACCCATGTTTAGTACTTAATAGGTGGATGAGGAAGGGTTTGGGCAGTTTTAATGAGAGGCCTCAGAGCGAGGAAGAGTCTGGGCTGGGAGTCTTCTCAGACCGAGGAGGGGTAAGACGGATGGTGCAGTCAGGGTTGATGACCTTACACTCCCAGGCCCAGCTGGGCATTAACAGGGTCGGGACTGTTCTGGCAGGCTCTGCTCCCGCTGGCCCTGGAAGGGACTGATGTTGGGCAGACAAAGGCAGCCCAGGCTCTTGCCAAACTTACCATCACCTCTAACCCGGAGATGACCTTTCCTGGTGAGCGGGTATGTGTCTCCTTTTTCCAACCATGACCTCTCCTGTTTCCTCATTATGCCCTGACAGCCTCTGGCCTGGGCTTCCCCTTCCTGATCAATGGGAAGATGGTAGTTTTGCTGAGTCCTGGGGTAGGGGACAGCCATAGAGAGCGCCACTGTCTCGGGTGGCCTCCCTGCTGTGGATCGGTGGGGTTGGGGGCCACTGCAGTGCAGTGAGCACTCTGATAGGTGGGATGTTTCACAGATCTACGAAGTGGTCCGGCCCCTTGTCTCTCTGTTGCACCTCAACTGCTCAGGACTGCAGAACTTTGAGGCACTCATGGCCCTAACGAACCTGGCAGGGATCAGCGAGAGGCTCAGGTGAGGCCCCATGGGAGCTTGGCATAGGGATTTGGGTGAGCCCTGGTTGTTCACTCTACAGTTTGGAAAACAGTTCCTGGTCATTATTTGTGCCTCACAATAAGTCCTCTGTAACGTACAGATGAAGAGTCAGGCCAAGGGTGGTACCAGAGAGGCACAGGATAAGAGCACTGTAGACTCTGATGTCAGATTGTCAGGGGTCCAAATCTGGCTCCCTAAACCCAGGACATATAGAAGCCCAAGCAGTTAGGCTCTGGGGCCCTGACTATGCCCTGCACTTCCCCTTTCTCTCCCCAGACTGCTGACGCTCAGTGGCTCACTGTATGACCCTAAGCAAGTCTTTAAGTCATTCTGCCTCAGTTTCTCCTCTGTGAGTTACTTAAGTGTCTTAACTCATGAAGTAGTAGCGTGGAGAGTTCATTGTGAAAACGCATATAAAAGACTTCAGTAAGCACAGTAGGTGCGGTGGCTTATGCCAAGGGAGGAAGATTGCTGTGAGTTCTAGGCTAGGCTAGGCTATAAACTGTCTCAAAAGCCCCCCTCCCAAAGCCCTTAGTTCATAGGCACCTGCCCTAGCAGTAATCACAGTCAGCGTGTATTAGCTGTTATTACTAATTGTGACCTTGAACACATTACTCACCTCCCAGCCCAGTTTCCCCTTTGGTGAAATAGCTATGGTAACCACACCTACACTTTCACCGTGGAGTAAGGTGAGCATTGAGTAAGAGAATTCAAGCATCATAGGGTTATGATGAGTAGTGGGTGAAATAATTCAAGCAGCCTGGTCAGGTTCAGTGCTCAAATGACTGATGTTTGCACAGCCATCCTCACCACCACCACCCTGCTCTGCTCATTGCCAGCATGCCTGGCAGTCCTAGGCCAGGCCAGAAGGCTAGAAAGCACTGCAGTCCACAGCTGGGACAGGAAGGTCCTTGGGCATTGCTTGGGGATCGCCTCAGCTCAGAGCTCAGTTACATGGGGACAGGGTGGCGGGTTACGGTTCTGGAGACGCTGGCCACGCAGACCCTTCCAACTCTGTCCCGCAGACAGAAGATCCTGAAGGAGAAGGCCGTGCCCATGATCGAGGGCTACATGTTCGAGGAACATGAAATGATCCGCCGGGCAGCCACAGAGTGCATGTGTAACTTGGCCATGAGCAAAGAGGTGAGGGTTGGTCCGGGTGGTCCCCATGACAGGGATGCAAAGGGCCCTGTCCTTCTATTGGGCTTTGTGCCCCGGTGGCATGGTCCTTGTCTCCATCCGGTCGCAGGTGCAGGATCTCTTTGAAGCCCAGGGCAACGACCGCTTGAAGCTGCTGGTGCTGTACAGCGGAGAGGAGGATGAGCTACTTCGGAGGGCTGCGGCCGGCGGCCTGGCTATGCTCACCTCCATGCGGCCCTCACTCTGCAGCCGCATCCCACAAGTGGTCAGTGCCTGTTCTTAGTGGGGGAGGATGAGGGAACCCCCCTTCCCTGCATAGTGGTATCGCTGTTCTGTGAGGGAGTTCCTGGGGCAACGGTGTGTTGTCTACCTGAGTTGAGCCTGTCGCTGGGTCCTCACACCTGCCATTTCCTATACAGACCACACACTGGCTGGAGATCTTGCAGGCCCTGCTTCTAAGCCCCAACCAAGAGCTCCAACACCGGGGTACCGTGGTGGTGTTAAACATGGTGGAGGCCTCCAAGGAGATTGCCAGCACCCTGATGGAGAGCGAGGTGCTGGAGATCCTGTCAGTGCTGGCCAAGGGTGAGGAGAGCCCAGTCTCCAGGGTCGCTGCGGCCTGCCTGGGGAAAGCCGTGGAATATAGACTCATCCAGCCCAACCGGGACGGAGAGTGAGGATTGGCCCTGGGCCCACAGCGCATGCATCTGCCACCCACCGCAGCAGCACCGAGAGCCAGGACACAAGCAGCTTTGGCCGACAGGGCTGGGATGCCGGACACTTGCCTCTCTTGCCCAGCTGCACTCTGGTGTTCTGTTCTGAGAGATCACACAGCACACAGCCCTCCCTGCTCTGCCAGCACGCAGACGGGCCCTGTATCCGTAGAGAGCTGGGAACGGAGAAGTGCATCCCAACTCAAGCCTGTGGATTATGGACATCAAGAAGGGCACCGCAGCATCCTCACAAGCCGTGAGCACCACCAGAGCCTGCCAGCAGGCACATTCCTCTAATAAATCGTGTGGAACTGAAGCGTATATTTGTTGTGTAGGAGGGTCTGCTGAGGGCGGGGGGGGGGGGGGGCCCTCTGGAGCAGTAGCTGCGCACCTGGCAAGTGTGCTGCAGAGGGCTGTCCTGCAAGAGAAGGAAGTCAGTGGTCCGCCACCCCAGGGCCCGCTGAGTATCTTTATAGTGGAGACTGAGTCTCAATACAGGTGCCCAAGCTGGCTTCACACTGACAACCCTTCTGTCTCAGCCTTTAGAGCAGTAGCAATTGCAAAGAGTGTCACCATACCCGGCTTGAGTTCTTAGTCCTGGTGGAAGGGTAAGCCTAAAGCTAGGACACTGATCGAATTCCAGCGTCCCTGATAAACAGTTTTAGGGTAGAGTACTGTACGCTGATCCTGGCTACATCTGTCTTGATCCTGTGAGTTTCCCGTGATCTCCAGTCAGGCAGTGTTTGGCATTTGGGGTTGGCGTGCACTTGCTTCCCTCAGGGAAAATCAATTCTTCTGTAGCTGTGCCTGGTTGAAGAAGAGGCGTGGCTCCAACAGGTTCCCCTCTTAGAGGCTGGAGATTGGAGCTCATTGGCTCAGTAGATGTAAGTGACAGCGCCTGGGCCAATCAGTGAAGGCACTAATACTACCTCTTCCGGTTTGGGCAACAGTCCCGAGCTTGCTCCGCGGTGAATCACCTCCTGCCTTGCTCGAAGGGAATGGCGGGTGTCAGGGCTTGGTCCTCGCCTGCCGTTTCCCTCGGGTCTTCATGAATATTCCCTCAGTGGTTCCAACCGCGTCCGCTGGTGTCGGCGCCCACTCCCCGGAGCGGCCCACATTGACTCGGCGGGCAGACAGGTAAACCCCGCGCCTGTGAGCATGTCGGGGCGCCCGCCCCCTGAGCGGTGACGTCACCGCTCGCGCCTGCGATTGGCTCCGAAGAGGCTGCTGTATCCAATGGCTGCCGTGCCTGGCGTGCGGGCCTTTAAACACGTTCTGCCCTGCGGGTCCATCCCGGAGCCCAGCATTACAGTGCCCTGGCCAGTTTCCTTCGAGATTTCCCGCCGAAAGGGCTTCTACTGGGTTGAGGGTACAGAGACGTGGGCAAGGTCAAAGGTTCACTTGGTTGGGGATCCAGGAGCTGTGGTCTCAGATCTGATTTAAGAGGCTTGAGAGTGGCTGTAAAGTTCTGGTCCAGGCGAATGAATTGACGTTGCTGTCGGAACCATGCGACTGTCTGTCTTCCCAATTCAGCGTGAGTTTCCTGGGGCCCACAGCCACTTCATTAAGCCAAAGGAAAGGCGCGATAAAGGATTGTTGAAAGAGTAAAAGACTGAGTAAGGGCCAGTGGAAATTGTCCAGATGAAACCCGTAAGAGCCAATGGTCATTTTCGTCACTAAATACTGTTGTATTTAGTAAGCTTAACACTAAAATTTTGATTTGCAGTTATCGCGAACAATTCTGCAAAGTACATATAAGCAACGCTGTTCTACACCCCCTCCCCCTTTTTTTTTCTTCCAAGACAGGGTTACTCTGTGTATCAATTCTGGCTGTCCTGGAACTCACTTTGTAGACCAGGCTGGCCTCGAACTCACAGAGATCCGCCTGCCTCTGCCTCCTGAGTGCTGGGATTAAAGGCTTGCGCCACCACTGCCCGGCTTCCCACCCGATTTGTAAAACCAGTGCAATAGGATTCAGCTTAAGAGGCGTGTGCACACGCAGGTTCCAGGGCTGTGGGGTAATGCTCTCCTTCCACTGCCTGTTGGGTAGAGGTTTATAAATCCATGGGACTAGGCTCAGCTCCGCCCCTGCTGTGTGACTAGGAGTCTACAGTAAAATGGAGCCAAGTTGATTCAAGGCTGTGGGATAAAGTTCTCGAGGCTGGGAAGTTGGAACTCGGGCTCGGATCCTAGTCTTGTACCTAATCTCTCACTTAACTACCTCTCAAATCCTTTGTGGTGTTAGAAATAAGTTCTGGGACACAAAGAAAGAGACCACTTCAACTGAAGTTTCTGGACAAGGCAGACTTTGTGCTGGGAAGAGCAGAACACAGAGTCAAGAAATGCACTTGGTTTTTTTCTAACCCAGGTGGACCGTCTGTTCCACCTTGGCTGGGGTCTGACCTACAATATTCTTCATTGGCTGGACTTTTTGTTGTTTTGAAACAAGGTCTATTATGTAGCCCTGGCTGCCCTGGAACTCACTCTAGACCTGGCTGGCCTGGAATTCAGCTCACAAAGACCCACCTGCCTCTGCCTCCCAAATGCTGAGATCAAAGGCGTGCACCACTACACCCTAGTTTTACAAGGATTGGCCCACAGGGAATTAAGGAGGAAGAAGAAAAGGGTTACTGATCCCAGACCATTGACTTCTTGGAATGTAGCCATGGGACTTTCAGTAAACAAAGGGTTTACTGGAGGTAGAGGGTGGGAGTAGTCAAAAGGTTACCAAAAAGTCTTACAAGTACAGGGACATGAAAAGATCTGAATTCCAGGCCAGGTGATGAGGTAGTAGCACACGCCTTTAATCTCAGCAGAGGTGAGCAGATCTCTGAGTTTGAAACCAGCCTGTTCTACCTACTGAGTTCTAGGACAGCTAGGGCTCGCCTAGTGAAAGCCTGTCTCAAATCAAGGGTGGGAAGCTCAGTGGTTAAGCACTGCTGTTCTTGCAGACCTGGGTTCAATTCCTAGCACTCACATGGTGGCTCACAACCATCCTAACTCCGGTATCGGGATTTGACGCCCTCTTCTGCCCCCTAGGAACACCACGTACAAACACGGTACACATGCGTTCAAGAAAAACACCCATCCACATAAAATAAAAATAATAAATCTTAGCCAGGTGTTGCTGGCACACACCTTTAATCCCGGCACTTCCGAGGCAGAGGCAAGCGATCTCTGTGAGTTCGAAGCCAGCCTGGTCTACAGAGTGAGTTCCAGGACAGCCAGGGGTACACAATGAAACCCTGTCACAAACAAACAAAAATCCTAAGAATTCCTTGCCCTGGATGCCAGTTTTATACTGTTTGATAGAAAAGACTTTTACTAAGTATTTCTTACAGTGGCACACTGGATTTGAGCCAAAAGTGGGAGACATGACCAGCTCCAGACAGTTAACAGTCACACACTTGATGGAACCTTTGGCCAAAGCTGTGCTTAGGGAACAGTAGTGGGATGGACACCAATTGCCTCTGTGCTTAGGGGGACGGAATCCAGATGGTATCCGGTCACTGTTTTACAGATACTGCAGCTGCAGCACCCCTCGGAAGGCCAGACTAGCCTGCATTCCTGAGGTGTCCTGTTTGCAAGCATCTCCTTGGGTTGCAGCCTTGACCTCCCATCCTGTAGCCCACGCGCCACCCACAGAGGGCTCAGCGTGAACATGGCCAAGGAACGGCATGGGACCTGGTTTGGCTTTGGTTTCTGTGGCTTTGGGCAAGTGCTGGGCTCTGGGAATGGGCGCCATTCGGTGTACAGTCCTGAACCACTTTGTGCCGGTGATGACGTTTGCCGAGTGAGTCCAAGCTGGAGCTACACCGCCCTGGTGACCCGTGAGTACCCTCACAACCCTAGCTCCGGGCCTGTCCCCAGTACACCTGCCTAGCCATTCTTAACATGCCTGCCCAGAAATATCCTACACCCTTCCCCAGGTCCTTGGCACGTGTCCCATGCCACTCTCTACCCGTGCAGGTGGCGGCCGGGTGGAGCTGTCGGGTTCCATGAGCGGCTCAGCCAGTGGCTGTAGGGACGCATGGGCTTCAGAGGAACTCCTGGTGGTGCTGCGTGACGAGGGCGGGTCTGGCACAGAGCTGCAGGCCTGGACTCCAGGCTCGGCACTGCAGGGGGAGCCCCTCTGGGTCCAGAACCTGGTTTCTGGTGCAGAGGACCAAGGGGAAGATGAACCCAGCAGTGAGGCTAGGGCGGGCACCCTGCCACTGCTGCCCGGTGCCCGTGCCTATGTGAACCGGCAGCCCCCCTTCTACCAGCCTCTGGCCCCAGAGCTGCGGGTGCGCCAGCTGGAGCTGGGTGCCGAGCATGTGCTGCTGCTGTGCGAAGCTGGCCAGGTGTTCTCCTGGGGTGGAGGCAGGTGAGGACCAGCTGTGCGTGTGGTTAGGTGACGCTTGGGGAGGTGGCCTCTTGAATGTACCTGTAGCTGATCAGGGACTCCCGTGATCAGGCATGGACAGCTGGGCCACGGGACGCTGGAGGCAGAGCCGGAGCCAAGGCTGCTGGAAGCACTACAAGGCTTGCGGATGGCCGAGGTGGCCGCAGGTGGCTGGCACTCCGTGTGTGTGAGTGGTGAGTGACCTGGGACTCCTCCAACAAGCTGGCGATCTTGGCCACCCCTTCCTCCTGTTCTGGTTTTTGTTTTGTTTATGGGTAGTCTAGCGCAGGCCTCATTCCCAGCTCAACCCAGCACAGTCGTTGCTGACTCGTCAGTATCTGCAGATTTAGCCCGTTGTTTCCACCACCCTCTTATACCTTGACTGTTGTAGTTGTTACCTTTCTGTTACTGGGCTCTCCACCACACCCGTCCATCTGCTAGCTAGCAAGGCTGCTTTCTAAAATACTCCAGAAGGGGAGCACACTTATCCAGGGGAACTGCTAAGAGACAGCTGAGCCAGAAAGAATGGAGAGGGCTGCAGATGCACAGGTAGCCATGACGGTGTGACGCTGTGTGGGTCCACTATGGTGGTACTGCCATTTCCTGGGCTTTGGGGGCGGAGAGAGTATAGATAAGCTGCTGTTTTTTTTTTAAAAAAAGATGGGTGGAATGTCTGTGCAGGTGTCCAGAGAGGCCAGAAGAGGGCACTGGGTCCCCTGGAGCTAGAGTTACAAGCAGCTATTCACTGCCATGTGCGAGCTGGGAACTGAATCCAGATTCTCTGGAAGAGCAGCCAGTGTTCTTAACCACTGAGCCATCTTTAGAGACCTAGAAGCTACTGATCTTTTTGTTTTGTTTTTCGAGACAGGGTTTCTCTGTGTAGCTTTGGAGCTTGTCCTGGATCTCATTCTGTAGACCAGGCTGGCCTTGAACTCACAGAGATATTTTTTTTTTTTTTTTTTAAAAAGGATGAAAATAGACTTGGCACTGGGCAGTGGTGGTGCACATCTTTAATCCCAGCATTCAGGAGGCAGAGCCAGGCGGATCTCTGTGAGTTTGAGGCCAGCCTGGTCTACAGATCGAGATCCAGGACAGGCACCAAAACTACACAGAGAAACCCTGTCTGGAAATACAAAAAACAAAAACAAAAACAAACAAACAAACAAAAAGTAGAGTTGGCCTAGCAAGGGAGTTAAAGGATGACTAAACTGGGTGCTCACTCATAGTCCCAGCTACTGGAGAGGTTGAGACAAAAGAACATAAAGCTGGAGTTAGACACCAACCTAGGTAACATAGTGAGATTCATCTCTGAAAGGAAGGGGAAGTGGGAAGAAAAGCTGTGTAGCTAGAATTTTCTGTTCCACCAGCCAACTCCAAAATAACTACACAGAGGCTTATTAACTATAAATGCTCAGCTGATAGCTTAGGCTTGTTACTAACTACCTCTTACAACTTTAATCCATATTTCTTATCTGTGTCCTACCACATGGCTCACTACTTTTTAACATGGTATATTTATCTTGCTTCTCCCTACATCTCCTGGCGACTCTGCCCTCTTCATCCCTGAGCTCTCTGCCTGTCTGCAAGTCCTGCCTAACCTCTTTCTGACTAGCTATTGGCCATGTAGCTCTTTATTAAACCAGTGATAACAACACATCTTCACAGTGTACAAAAGGACTATTCCATAGCAAAGCTGAGCATGGTGGTGGTGCTTGTAGTCCAGCATCCAGGGAGAGGGTAGAGTCTTTGAGGCCAGCCAGAGAGGTGCACAGTAAGGCTGCTTGAAGAAGAAAAAAAGAGGGGTTGTGTGTGACTAAAGGTGTTATATGGGCAGGGAGTCTAAGACAAGAAAGCTGCTGGGACTTGGTAGTGGGCCATCTTCGCTTGGAGGAATACTTGGGCAGGGTAGCTTTTTCTTGTCTCTAGGAATTGGTAGTGGGGATGTTTAGAGGATGTAGGTAGATGGAAAGGTTTCACAGTCTGTTTCATGGATCCTCTCGGTCTCTTTCAGAAACTGGGGATATTTATATCTGGGGCTGGAATGAGTCGGGGCAGCTGGCCCTGCCCACAAGGAGCCTGGCAGAGGACAAGAAGACAGTGAACGGGAAAGGTAAGGTCAATCTCCAGGATTCTTTACTGTGTGCTGGACAGTGAGCTGCAGGTGCTTCGGAGCATAACTCATCCTGGTAACTGTTGGGTACCACTCATTGCTGTGGGGAAGCTGGTGCCAGTTTTGGCACTGCACAACCCACAGGTCTGTTGAGGAAGGGGTGGGCACTGGCTCCGGGACTAGAGGAAGTGTTTAATAGAGCTACTTAGGAAGATGCAGTGTGTGGATGGGGGTCATCTCCATGCCCCAATGTTAAACGTTATAACCATTCTAAAGTCGCAGAATTGGATGAAGCTTGTCTCAAAGGAGAGGAAGCAGCTGTGGCTGATGGTGGAGCTCCTGCCCCCTTCATAGCCATCCAGCCCTTCCCGGCTCTACTGGATCTTCCCATGGGCTCCGATGCCGTCAAGGCCAGCTGCGGATCCCGACACACAGCCGTGGTGACCCGTGAGTGGGACAGGCCCAGGGTGGAGCAGTACTCCATCTCATTCTTTAGCTGGGGGCTGCAAAAAACAAAACTTTGCCTTGCCCATCATTCACTTGATGATGCAGGCTTGTCTCACGCTCCTGGGCTCAAGCGATTCTCTCAGGCCTTAGAGTAGCTGGGACTGTAGATTCATGCCACTGCACTCTCTGTATGCTGGGGATTGGATCTCGGGCGTCTCGTGCTAAGCAAGCCAATTACTGAGCTACATTTTTAACAAAATTACCATATTATAGCATCTTTCGATATATAGCTTTATGATCAGCTGCCTCACTTTCATGCTGGGCATGGTGGTACACACTTATAAATCCTAATCCTTGGGCTGAGGTAGGAAGATTGGGCTATATAGTAGGACTGTTTAAAACTATCAATCAACTAACTAAATAAATAAAAAGGTTACTTGTGTATCTTTAACAGCTCCATAGCCTCAGACCCAATAGGTTCTTCCTTCTAGAAGGAAACCTGCCCAGTCTCGAGTGTGACTCCATGCACCGAGGTCAGTCGTTGATATTTGGAAGTTACACTTTTTTTAACTGGGTCCTTCACTACCACAGTTGCACATATCAGAATTACAGCATGTCATCAATGGCCTGTGAGGACCAAGTAGTATCTCGCCAGTAGCAGATCAGTAGTGCAGCTCCTTACTGTCTCTTTGGTTGCAGGAACAGGAGAACTCTATACCTGGGGCTGGGGTAAGTAAAAAGATTTTGTGATTCTTCCAAGGGGAAGAAGAACCTTTGATACAGAACAGGTGACAAAAGCCACACAAACTAGTGGGGGTAGGAGCTTCAGCCTGGTGAATGGGAAGAGGACTGAGGAGCATGTCTCCCTTGGCTGGGGCCAGACAGCAGAGGGAGGAGGTGCCTCTGACCATCTTGACATAGGCAGCAGGGAAGCTAGGAGTCCCTGGCACCATCCTCAGCAGGTCGGTGGGTACAGCCCTACACAGCAGTCCGGGCTGGCTTCTGTCCGGAGGGAAAAGTAGCAGGGCCTATCAGAGAAAGGGGCTCATTTCATTTTAGGTAAATATGGACAGCTTGGCCACAAGGACAGCAGCAGCTTGGATCGACCCTGCCGTGTGGAATACTTTGCAGAAAAACAACTCGAAGTAAGGGCTGTCACCTGTGGACCCTGGAATACCTATGTGTATGCAATGGAAAGAGAGAAAATCTGATATGCCACTGATGGTGCCTGGGTGAGAATGAACTGTCATAAGCACATGCAAACATTAAGTTTAGAGACAAGGTCACACATCCCCCTCCCTTGAATTGAAGGTACATGACTTTAAAAAAAATCAAGATAGCCAGGCAGCAGTGGTGCACACCTTTAATCCCAGCACTCAGGAGGCAGAGGCAGGTGAATCTCTGTGAGTTCAAGGCCAGCCTGGTCTACAGAGCGAGATCCAGGACAGGCACCAAAGCTACAGAGAAACCCTGTCTCAAAAAACCACAAAAATACAAACAAACAAATTCCCCAAGATAAAGACAAATCTTATGAAGCATGTATGAAAGAGTTGAATGTATATATAAATGTTTATTTTTTGGAGCAGTGCCAGGAATTAAAAAAAAAAAAAACTCAAGACCTTCCGTGTGCTGGACAAGCATCTGAGCTTTTTACCCTAGGCCCAGAAGCTTTAATAGTTTTTGCAAAATGAGAAAAGACTGAAACATGAAAATATGTGAATAAAATGGTATTTTACCCAAATGAGAAACTCTTCAGTGTTTTTTAGTTAATCAATAGACCAAACAACCATTGATTTGGAGAAAAAAACAACATATAGTTTTTGAAAGGTAACTATATACACTTTATTTTAATATATTTAAAAGGAGAACATATATATTTGAGTAAACAGACAGCATGCTGACACAGACCAAGTTTGAAAGAGTCATTTAATGTGGTGACAGAACTAGCACAGGCAGAGAATAAATAATAGTGCTTTGGGAAGAGTAGTGATCTTCTGGATGTGACTGCAGGAACACTTCCTTTCAGATGTGCAAAGTTGCTGGCGTCCATGACAAATGACCCCCCATAGCCTCTCCATGTGGTTGTCAACTACAAGGAATAATAGAACTAGGCACAGTGAGCACAGGGACGGAGCTGGGGAAAACTCAACAGGTCAGACAAGCATGTGTGTTCACACACACACACTTCATCAAGAGATTGCACTGTACAAACAACGCTTACTGCTACTCGTGGGCAGCAGGTCAAGCCATCTCAAATGCTGAACACCAGAAATCCTCACTGGGATAGTGCGGGGCGACGGCCATAGGCCTCTGGGTAAAATCAAAGCTACCATAGCTACAGCATTAATTGAATGTCCCTAAACATCAACAAAAAAATGTTTTTTGGTAAAGATGTTAATTGCTAAATCCAAGTCTACAAGACAGAATTGCTTGTCTCATACCCCAAGGCTGGGCACAATCATTTTCTCATTTTTCAATACAGTAATGTAGTAAGACAGACCCTTGATCATTCTTTAAGTAGTAGAATTATGGGGTAGAGAAAAAAAAATTAGGTACCAGATGTTAAAGTTTGTACTTAACAGTCATAACTAGACTTTTAAGGTGTCTCTGTGGACCTACTACACCTATGAAGGCCTTCCATCTGTTGTACTCACATCTTAAGTTAGGTACACACAGAACCTGCCCAAGGTGGTTTCAAACATCCCAAACTGCAGAAAAACTCTAGTCACCCCTGTGTAGTAAAGTCAGTCAGTCCAGTCTAGGCCTAGGAAGCCACAGCTGGCTAACTGGTCAAGGATTCTCAGGACTGGATGTTGGTTGAATTGAGGATTCGAGAAGTAGCATCAGATCTGGAAGCCTTTGAAAGTTCTCGCTGTTGAAAGATTAAACAACATCAGTGAGAGCACTAGTGTATGCCCCTCCACTCAGACGTGGTTAAGGTTAGCACAAAGCCCCCAGGGCAGTGTCCCAAGAGCTCCTAGCACAGCTGTGCTGGGAACAGACTGGGAAACTGAGCACCATTCTGTTAGTCATGACCCAGCACATGCACACAGAGGTCCCGCTCTCACCCTCAACCAGTCCAATCTTAGAACTTGAAGAGAACCCTTATTTCAGTTACTTGCGTAATTTAGCCAAGCAAGAAACCATTGTTTTTGGTTTTTTCCTCTCCCTGTTGGGGACAGAACCCCAGGGCCTTGCACATGCTAAGCTCTGGTTTCTTGATCCCTTTGTAAAACAAGGGCCAGACCATTTATCTACCAATCCCGGGGGCTGAGGGCTTTGTAACCTGCTGGTGATTTGATCTCATGCTGGAGTACATGGTGGAGAAGCAGAGGACAGAACAAGAGAACAGAATGGTCACTGAGGAAGGCGGGTTAGTCAGGTCAGCTGAGTGAGTGGCTTTGGTGCTGCCCCATGGAGTCTGTCAACCATAGCTGCTGATGCAGAAGAAACCCTCCAGGCTTAGCCAGAGGTAGATGATGTGAAGGTACATTTAAGCCTCAAAATGGGCTTTGGCTGAGCAAGGAAAAAAAAAAAAAGGATCGTTCAGCAATCAGCCAACAAGAGTTCCATATACCCATTTCTCCTGATAGAAATACCACCACCCAGGTCACTGGGAAGAAGGGCCAGAACATGACGAGTTTCAACATTCCAAACTGGCCACGCTCATTTTAGGTCGCACTCCCCTTCCCTGTGGCACTGAGGAGGCAGTCCCAGCTTTAACTTCGTGTCCCCGAAAGGGTTAAGGGGCAGCCTTCACCTCTCATTGGTGAGATACTGAGGGAAGAGAAAGCAGATGGTTAAGGGAAAGGCATTGCAGTTAGCAGGATGATAGACGGTAAGGACGGCTGTGGTGAGAAGGGCGTTTCAGTCTTCACACACATTAGCAGCAGCTCACTGGTAGAGGTGAGGAAGTGAGCGCAGGCCAGCCTATGTAGACAGACAGGGACGAAGCCCAGTGGGTTAGTAAGGTATATATATACTCCAGGAAATAACCAGCACACAGGCCAAGAGCCTCAGTATAAGCAGCACACAGCTGGGGTTCCCGTCCCCATTTGAGGGGGGCTTTACTCTTTCTAGCACATTCTAGACCTTTGATATCACAACTGGCGACAGGGGCCAGGTATTCTTTTTCAATTTCTTTGTTTTTGTACATACATATATGTGTATATAGATAATCCTAGGTGGGGCTGAGAATCCAATTCAAGTCTGAACATGTTTTCTTGTTGGCCAGCATATCAGTCTACTGGACATAGAAACCAGACACTTATTTCTGAAGCCTGTAATAGGAATTCTTGGTTGGTTGTTTTTTGTTTTTGTTTTTGTTTTTTGCTTACTGTTGTTTTGGTTTGGTTTTTATTTAAGGTTCTATGTTGATACAGCTGAGATTATGGGTTAGTGTAGTACTGTGCCCAGATGGGAATGAAGCCAGCAGATGACAGATCAGTTTGGAAAGGGGACGTGGGACATGCAGGGGTTGCCATACAGACCTGAAGCCCAACAGTGGAGCTGTCAGAGAGGGACGGGTCCTTCTAAGAACAAAGAATTAAGACAATTACCAAGAACTCCACCAAGAGAGCACCAGGGCAGTCATTAGCAGGTTACCTCCTGCAGCCAGGGAATGAACGGTACTGCGAACGGTACAGCTTACGCAGAAGATCCAGGTCAAATGTCTAGTTACTGATATCAACTTCCTTCCTGTACACCTCCTTAAGCCACCCACACCCTACCATGATCAAGGCAGGAAAGGGATTCTCAGCCTTCAGGTCACTGTCCTGACTCAGTACCCTGGATGCCCTTGGGAAGATACCCGCTTTGCCAACTGTGTGCTCCCCAGAGACTGGTAGATATCAGAAAAGGTGAATTACCGAAAACTCAGAATAGGTGCTGGCAACAGACTTAATGCTGCAGTTGTGCTGGAGGGGGGTCGAGCCAGAGTACCCACCGCTCAGGATGCTGCCATTGAGCTCCATGTTCTCCTTGTTGGCCCTGAGCCGGGCAGCTCTAGGTGTTTTCTTTCCAGAACACATAGAAGTGACTACTGACTGCAGAGAAGAAAGATATCCATGTTATCTATCACCCTAGAATGATGGACTCACACAAAACCTGATGCTGCATTTATGTTACTCATGCTTATAATCCTACATTTCTGGCTGAAAAATGGTGTAGTTAAGTCAGGTGTGGTGGTGTACACCTTAATCCCAATGGAAGCAGGTGGATTGCTGAGATCCTGGTCTACCTAGTGAGTTCCAGGACAGCCAGAGCTACATGGAGAGACCCTGTCTCAAAACAAAACAAAACGTGCAGTTTTAGCTTTATAAAAATGTGTTGGGCACCAAAGCCATGGCCTGTTGAACACAAGCTGTGCTTGACTACCGACCTATGAAAGCCCTAGCTCCCAGCATGAATTGTACTTCTTAGCAAAGTTCCTACTTCTCAGTGGGTCGAGTTATCCAGAAGCCGCCTAACAGCCCACCCCATCCTTCCCATGCTGTCAGTAGGGTTGGTGACTTGTCCCCTCGTCTTTGACCATTATCTAATGCCCAGCTCTTAAACCGTGGGTCACGACCCACATGAGTCACATAACTGATTGTGGGAGTCACGAAGAATTCCGCAAACAGTGGGTCATGACCCACATGAGGAGTCATGAAGAACTCCGTAACGAAATGGTTTTGAATGAGTGTGACCAAAGCTGACTCAGAATCCATGTCTCGTGAATCGGAGGTGTTTCCAGCATCAGTTACTTGTGTACTGTCTACTTCACTGCAGCCTCTGCTCTGAACACAGCACGCTGGAACTGGCATGTCCTGCCACACTGTGCCAACAAATGCTGTCCGACTAGTGCTGATTCAAGACGGCTTACAGCATAGATGGCTTACAGCATAGACGGCTTACAGCATAGATGGCTTACAGCATAGATGGCTTACAGCATAGACTGCAGCAGCATCTTTGCATAGAGCTCTGCTGTTACAGGAACGTGATGGTTTAATCACAGAACACAAACTTGTAGTATTTTCCTACCATAATTCCCTTTCACTTAAGTATCAAATGAATATGTCCTTAGAGTGTATTGTTAGAATTTTTTATTTTAACTGCTGAGATGCTGACTTGAATTTCATTAAAAAAAAAAATCATTACTGAACTTTAGCTTAATTAGGGCAGAATTTCCAACAAATGGAAGTTCCCTAAACTTACTTCTGTAATCCTGTACTGTCTGTCTAATTATAGTCAACGTTAATGATTATAAATCAAGCTATTGCCAGGTGGTGATGGCGCACACTTTTAGTCCTAGGCACTCTGGAGGAAGAGGCAGGCAAATCTCTGAGTTCCAGGACAGCCAGAGAAGCTCTGTCTAAAGAAAACAAAAGCCCTGGTCTAATGACTCTGGCTCTGGCCTGACTCTCAGAATCACAATGATCACCAAACTGTGATCTTAAGAGACTAGGCCGAGGAGGACCTCTGGGAAAACACATAGCAACAGGGATATGCTTGTACAGAATACACTAACCTTGCTGCCAGAAGGAGGTAGTCGGGATACAGGTGACCGGTACATTGTTCCACCAAAGACAGGCCGAATGCTGCTGTTGGGTGTAGCACTGGACATGGTGGTGGTGTTCATCTAAAAAGAGATACTTAATTGATGGGAGGTTAACAACATCAGCCTTTCTAACAACTCAGCTCTACCCTGTAGGAAAGTGAGCTTCAAGTGTCCAGGAAGGAGCTTCCACAGTAACGTTGGCTGTG